TAATGGTATCGCAGCCACACGGCGCTAAGCGACGGCGCCGCTCCCCCCTCCTTCATCCCAGTCGCTTACTGGGGCCATTCCCAACTCCTAACAGGGACAAGCCAGCCTAAAGAGCAGGTCCCAGCGAGCCCACTGCCAAGGGGACCAGGGAACCGCTGTCCCACGCCCTGGCCATGGGTCCAGCAGAGTTAAACCACATCACAGGCATGGAGGTGACAGTGGCTTCTCCATCCACCGTGGGTCCTTTCACAGGGGATTTTTGGGGGTTGAATTCAACCCCTCCTCCAAGCACATGGGCCCCGCTCTCCATCAGCCCAGGGAGGACGTGCCACGGAGACCTTGCTTTCCCCTTCCCTGGACCATACCCAAGTTTATCCACACATTTTCCCAGCCTGCCTCTCCCAGATGCTGTTTAACACCACGTTACCCAGCACAACGCCTGGGAGGAGATGGGAGCAGAGAGGAGGGAGGAGAGGGGAACCATCTACTTACTTCTCGGTTAATCCGAATCTTAACGATCCCGTTGGGACACAGGTTTGAGAGAAAAAGATCAGAGACAGAGACATTAGTGAGGCACAGATCAAGAGATAGGTTAGAGCACCCGCCCCGGAGCGGGTTATGGAGAGCCACAGGGGAGAAAGGACACATGGGGACAGGGGACAGGCATGGGGAACCCACCACGGTGGCATCGGGCCACCGTTGATAGACAATGTCCTCTGGGCAGGAGGGCAGAGTGGGATTTGCTGCTGCTTCCAGGAGATGCTCAAGCCCTGTGCCTGACGGAGCCCTCCTGAACCTGCCCTGGTCTCGGCACCGCTGGAGGTGACAGGGGCCATCGCTCTCAGAGGACATCAGGGCTGAGCTCTGCCCAGACTCACATGCACCAACAGGATCAGGGGTACCCCAGTGTGATCCCCAGGCTGGTCCCTTGGCCCCCTCAACCTCTGCATCCTCCACCCAGGGAGGAGGAAGATCCCTGGCCATGAGAGCAGGTGAGGAGAGAAGAGAGGATGGAAAAGGGGAGGAGAGAGGGAACGAGAAAGGAGGGACAGAGTGGAGCAGAGAAGGGAGAGAAGCAGCAGCAAGCAGAAATTGCTGATGAGCATAAATAAATCAGGTAGGTTCTTCGTGGCGTGTCTCAGGGACGCACAGATGAGCCCATCCCAGGCTAAGTTCCTCCAAACGCTGCTGGACAGACCCTGACAGTCCACATGGTCCACAGGAAGCTCCTGTTCCAGCCCAGACCCCCAGGGAGACCGGGCACCGTCCCCCACTTACGTCGATGTAGTTGGCGTTGATGTAGTCCGAGTTGGGATCACCCAGCAGCGGGTGCAGCTTCACTCGGTGACGGTCATCTGGAGAGCAAGGGGAGAAGGGACCATCAGTGCCCGGTGTGTCACCCGCCGGGTCCCACGGCTCCCGGGCACCTTTCGCAATCGTTTTGCACCAGGAATATGCAAAATACAAGCTGGTAGGACATATTCAGGAGTAATAAATACAAGCTTGGTGGAGGTCTTTCCAAAGATGGTGGTTTAGACCAGTCGGGACACGGGCGAACAGCTTTTGGCACGGTATCTCCCAGAACCCTGCCCAGTCCTGCCAAAAACAGAGGGCACCCACCCTCCAGCACCCAGCCGTCCGCCCCGGCAGGGCACCAGGGTGGCCAGAACCCAGACAGGTGAGCAGAAAGCTGGGACATGTCCTGGGGCCCCGGACAACACTGGAGTGGAAGGGATGAAGCTGTGGACAAAGGATGTGGGAGGTGGAGAGCACCAGAGCTCCTGAAACACCAGGCTTGGTGCTTCCATCCCTGCGGGAACATCACCGGAGATGCAGCAGGGAGCAAGGTGGCTGTGCCACACTGACTGGAGGGACCTGCTGAGCAGCACGCACCCTCTCTCCAGTGGGGTCAAGCCCTTCCCCAATCTTCTGTCCTAAAAATTCCTCACTTAACCCCTTGGTCTCATCCTGCACGTCCACACCAGAAGCTCCCTAGGGCAGGGCTGTAGTTTCTCATAAGTCCATATAGGAAAACACACTCCCAGTTACGTAGGGCCTTCCAGCACCACCCAGAATATCACGGTGATGTTGTCACCACCCCAAGCTGTCCTATCCTAAGAGTTACCCAACCCCAGCCCTCCTATTTGCTCCAGCGTCTGATGCCCACCAGGAGCTCTCAGGCTGGCACCCCTGCACTGAGCAAGGACCTTGCTGCTGCCTTTAACCAACCAAACCCCACCCATTTCTTCCTTGCCACGGACCACACACCTACCAAAAAAAGCCCCCAAAGCCCTTTAGAAGGTTTTTCCAGCTGTTCGGGGTGTTTAAGCCTCTGCTAAAGGCACTCACATGTTGACACGTGATCCTGTCTCCCTTTGGTCTTGTCTTTCTTCTTTGAAGCATCCCAGCCTTCAAAGAAACTCTGTAAGGAAAGGATGGCCATCACGACCCAAGGGCAGGGCTGCGGGGTCCCCCCCAGCCCCACAACTTCCCTGGGGAGCAGGGCAGACAGGGTGGTCCCTCCACCCCAAGATCTGGGTCCTGCAGCCCCAGCTCCATCTCCATAGCAGCTCTGCCAGCTACACGACTCTGTAGCATCCACAAAATGCCCCATTTTCCAGCAAATTATAGATTGCCTGTTTTTTTTCCAGGGTTGGTTGTGGGTTTTTTTTCTAAACCTCCCGAGCCCCTTTCTCTCCCCAGCACAGAATAGGTTTGTGTGTAATAACAGTAACATTCAGAGATTGGCATAAGAGGAGGAAAGTGGAAGGAAATTACATGTTTTCTCCCCTCCCATAATATCTGAGTGCTTTCAAACGACTAGTTCCAAGAACATACAGCAGCTTTTCAAGGAGCACTAATGATTATAGCAAGCCCTGGTTTGTCCAATACATGAAAGGGAGGAAAAAAAAAAAAAGCTCCTGCACTTGAAACAACGAAGCATTAAACAGTAATTTCCCTGGGAAATTTCAATCGCCAGACCTGTGGGACACCGAAGAGTCGGGAAATCGACCCCGCTGGGCACGCTGCGGCAGAGGTGCACGGAATAACATGCTCCGTTACAAAAGCTCTGGCCCAACGAGGTGGGATGGGCACGATGCAGTCAACAACCCTTGGGGGGCACATCCCTCCCCCCGGGATCACCCTCTCCCATGTCCTCTCCCTGGGGTCTTCACGGTTTTGGGAGCCGCCAGGCTGCAGCGGATTTGCTTGTCCTTAGGCTATGGCCATGCTTACCACGGGTCATGTGTGTTGGAGAGCAGAACATCACCCTGTGGTGCCCAGGAGGACCTGGGAAAGGGAAAAGCATCCCCAGCCCTTGCAGGAGAGGTGGGATGACACCCTGTAGACAGGAGAGGTGTGGGCTGGTAGGGCTGGTTTGGCTCATCTCAGGGACCCGTTCAAGCTGACAATTAAATCCTGAGCTGCCAGGACTGGAGACTTGATCCAGACCCAGGGACACCCCATGATCTGATAATGCCTGCCCAGAGAGCTGGGAGCTCCAGCTCCTGCTGTCCCCAGCACTGCAGCACCAGGTCTGGAGCATCTCCTCCTCCGACACGGGTCCTACCTTGTCCATCCTACCTCCCACCCTCCCCGAGACACCAGCACAAGATGCTCTCACCTCATACTCCTGCTTGAAGCCGTAGCCTTCTGCTGTCTTCATCTGGTTGATATGCTGGAGGAGATCTGCCACCCGCACGGCGGGATGGAGCTGCCCAGTGTGGTACGGGGACCCTTTGCGGCCGCACTGGCGGCGGGGGGACCCCCCCAAGAGGCTGCTGGACTCGTTGACCACGCTGCTGCGCTGGTCACCTGCAGAAGGGGAGGGAAAACCGGGGACCGTTAGGGGAGCAAAGCCTTGGACTGCATCCCCATCACCTCCTCGCATCCATGGAGGGAGGAGAGGGCACCTGGAAACATCCCCGGGAGATGCTGGTGCCACAGCCAGTGTCTCTCTCTGGGGACCACAAGCAGTCCAGACCCTGCTCTGTGCTCTCTGCAGCTCTTCCTACACCACCAAGCTGAAAATGCCCATTACAGCCTTTTAAGACCAGAGTAGATCTCTTAGAAATCAGCGGGCAAGATCTTCAGTGGGTTAATAAGCTTATTTCCCATCGATTGGAGCAATTAACTTCCACGCAGACAAGTAAGAGCTACGTGCCCAAATATTCACAACGAAGTCCTGACCTCAAAAATTGCATTGCCAAAGTCCCCAGCCCAGCTTACCAGTTAATTTTCCTCGCTGCTAGATACGGGCGCCTTATTCCTAGCACTGACACAAATGGAGCTCGCTGCTGTTTAATGGGGGAGTTTATGCAGTATTTACCCAGTTTATGCCTTTGCCATGCAATTACCAGCAGAGCCAGGCTAAGACCTCACCTGCATTTGTCAGGGCAAGGTCCCACACCGGATCCTGAAATCTGGGTTTGCCCAAAACGTGATGCTCTCCATTGCTGCCAAGGGATGTGGCAGGCGCGGCGCCTGCAGCACCCAGCCTGGAACGCCGTCCACACGCTGCTGGGAAGCAGCTTTGCAAGACGATACATCCTAAACGCACTTTGCCCTAACACCACTTCTAAAATCCACCCTTGCCATCTCACTCACAAAGCTCCCAGGCTTGGTTTTTTGGGTCTGCTCAAACGCAAGGAGCAGCCCCTCACCCCCCCGCCTGCACCTCCCGGCTGCTTGTGCAACGCGGGTGCAATATGGGTGCAACGTGGGTGCAACGTGGGTGCAGCACAGGCACAGACTGGGGTCTCTCTCAGGCATCACAGCTCCCAAAGAGACGATGCTCCAACCTTTGCAACCAGAAACGTCTCCCTTCCAGGCTGCCAACGCGTGGCTGAACCAACGGGACCACACGGGAGGGTCACACCGCATCCCGTGGCACGGTTGACAGGCGCATCGGCCGCTGGGTTTAATGAGAAATTAATTGCAGGCATTTGCAAGGTGCCCACAGCTCCATGCAGCCACACGCTGAGGACCCACTCAGGTTTCCGTGAGAAGGATTAGTGACTTTTTTTTTAAATGCAAAGAAAGTGAGGCATGGAGGGGAACAGCCCCCAGTCGGTCACGGAGCAGCCCCTCCATTGACCTTCGTTAATT